GGGATTACAACAGTATTTTCCCCAGGGGGTTATCTTAAAGATTAAATGAAATAATGTATCTAAATTACTCAGGCACAGTGCTTGGCAAGTAGAAAGTATTCAATAAAAAGTTAGCCATTATTTTTATTTTTGTTACTATTTTGTCAGAGTCCTTTCTCTAATGAGATTGCTACTCAAGCGCTCTTTCTCTGATACATTTAGAGTGGTGTTTGGTAAATAAATTCATCTCTGTCCCCTGGGGGTGAAGGCTGATGCTCTCACCCTTCGGTCTGGAGATTCAGTTACTTGCCTGCCGGAGCCGTTCAAGACTCAGAATGTTCTCCACCTGCAGTACGCCGCGAGTGTACTTCTCAATGTACGTCTCCCCGTCCCACGTGCCCTCATTCTCACTCCTTGCTGCCAGGAGAGCCAGCGTTTCCCGGTCCTCGATCTCCTCGGTTGCCTAAAGGGACAAGAAGGAAATGACAGTACTTTTATGTAAACAATGTTATGTTTTGTTTTGTAGAAAAGAAAGAAAACACTTTTATTATTGAATAAGCATAATACCACACTGCAATGCACATCACAGGCAGTCTGCTAATGAGAATGCAAAGAAAGAGAGAAATCCCTCTTTTATGTAACCAAGCACATACAATCCATTATATACACAGTCTCAAGATAAATGATAACTTGTCCTCATGTACGAGGACTTGGCAGTACCATTTGCTATACATTCTCTCATAGTTCGTCCCAGGTTCACTTGGGTTTTTTTTTGGCAATGGCCATCTGTGTTGGTTAATTGCCATTATCTGAAAGGAAAACAAAACGTCCTATCTCTAACACAAGCGGTCGTTACAACTGGGAACAAAGCACCTTAGATGAACTCCCAAGGTGACAGAGAGAGAGGGAGTGAACAATGTTTTCATCAAGAGTGTGGTGAGAAAATACTTTCAAAGTCTGAAGAATGAACACATTCTCCATTATTTACATATCAATATTTTAAAAAGTAGTATATATTTTACCTTTGGTATATTGGATACTATTTCATAGGTTACACCACAGGAATAAAATATATTTTTCAATGATATTCTCCTCTTCAAACTCTGTGTGAAACTCTGGTAGAAAAGGAAAGCTGGGTTAAGCTACGTGATAAATGCAAGTAATTTAGTATTTCACAAATTGTAAACATATCATATGTTACCATGTTTTTAGTACACACACACACTACTCAGCAAAACAGAAAAAAATTGAACCTAATAATTTTGTCTCCAAACCCTCAGGGATAGTAATATCCAGCTATTAGTCAGGCAGGATTCACATGACAGAATTTGCAGCATATTCAGGGTTTCTGTGGATGCTGCGCTCTCATCTGCAGCCTCCTCTTAATCTCTCCAGCGTTTCACCCATCTTCCCTGGCATAGTCAGAAGAACACTGGAAAGGATCAGTTGTGCTGGTAGCACCTTTGAGATAAGATCTGGCAAAGCCGCAGGAGAGGGATTTATTTGGAGTCTGCATTTTGTCCTGGTTTTTTTGCTAACCTTATTGGACCTGGCATTTAACCTCTCAGTCTCAATTTTTTCATTTTTCAAACAGTGAAATGTCATAGCTCCACTGCCTGCTAGATTATGGCTCTCTAATCAGTCAAGATGGACAAGTCCTTTGGACATTTACCTCTGCTATCCTCACACCTCCTCATTTTGGATAAATCAGAGTCTGACTCTAACTTGGCCAGTGTGGACACAGTTTGCACATGCACTGCATTAGTGCCACAAAACTCTAATTTGTGAGAGAGAGAGAAAGAAAAAAACTTTGAGCTCAGAGCCACAATAGCAGAATCAGTCCCTGTTACTACCTGTTTGTTGTAAATATTGGCTGCAATCCGTTTTCGTAATACTAACTCCATAGCAGCCGGGCGGCTGAGTTGGACTGTGGTCTTCACAATTAGGTAAATCCTTTCATTCTGTGGTGTGACCCTATTCAAGTGAACAGAATCATGCACTGAGGAATCCCAAGAGGCTGTGGCTGAAACCTAGGAGTGGGGAAGGACGGGGAGATGGAAAAAGACACAACTCAGGTGTGGAAGTTGTACATGACACACTACAGAAAGGATATACATTCAGCTCAATATAATCAAATAGATTTCTTTTCTCACCTTTTTATTGTTTTTATTTTTTAGGTTGTCTCTGTTTATTTTTGGCAAGAAAAATCCTCAAGAGTTAACACAGCATGATCTTTTCCCAGAGGTGCGCTGAGGGAAGGAGTGTCTAAGGGCATCTCCGAGCTAGCTTATAGAAACACTGCTTCTACCAAGAGCTGCTGGGCACATTCCCTGGGGAAAAGCTGGTTGTTCCATCACTCCTCCTCTCCCACAGCCATCTCAGTGGGGTGAGTGGCCATCTGTCCTTCAGTGGGAATGAGTTAGGGAGAGAACAGGCAACAGAGGAGACAGACTAGGGATGACCACAAAGTGGAATGGGCCCTATCCCCTGGACCTGGGGAGGTGGAGCAAAGCCTGAATTAGGGATCAGACTACAACATGTTAAAGAACCAGGATTAGCACCTACTTGAAGGGCACCCTCCCTAGGCTAAAGATCAGGAACCAGTATTGCAGCCAGGGCTTGCCTCCCAGAGGCCTTTCCTGGGGGGCTCATCCTGGGAGGAGTCAGTGGGGGGCATCCACCTGCCCCCCGCACAGCATCTCAGCTCTGTCACGTGAAGTGAGGTTTCCTGTTTCCTCACCCTTTAGAATGATAACACAAATGTTCTATTTTTTTTTTTTAAAGTCCCTAGTCCTCTTCCCCAAAGCAGACTACAGCAGTTTAATGGGAAGAAAGCCAAGCAGGCTTGTGCGCTAATCTGAAGCCCTTTCAGAGAACCCTGGGGGTAGTTACCTCATCATCACTGTGCTTGTAAAAAAAAAAGTTACCGTTATAACACATTGAAAACCATTGTTCTAGGTTTGCTCAGGAATAATCTAACTGCCATAGTAAGGGACAACTCTTAATGCAAGGTTACAGTGTGATCACTTCTGGCATCAAAATTACTGGGGTCGGGAGCAAAGCCCACTAGTCATTAATGCAGATTCTTAGCCAACATGAAAGAGTCAGAATCTCTGGGGGTGATTACTATGCCAGATAATTCTATGTCTATTAATGTTTCAGAGCAACTGATTTAATATTCTTATATGCAGTTCTCAATCTCCCCAAGTGCTTTCTCTTTTTTATTAGATGTCCACATCTCTCTTCCAGTGTTTCTACATGTCATGCTTTTATATATTTGACCACACCAAAAATGTCACCTCAATATCGCATTATATACAAATGATTAGGAAAGTGATTTAAGGATCAAAATAATGTGAGTCTGAATAGATTCCAAACCTTAATTAAATGTGATAACCCCTGGAACTTTAAGCATCTACTTACCATTCAAATCAAGGAAGAGAACTGGTATGTGGGTTTCCATTCCAGGAGGTGGGATCCTAAATTTAGTAACAAAATTTAATCATAGCAAAATATGTGTTTTACATCCTGTTAGATAATCAAACACTTGCAGAGCTATGGAAAGTAGAAGAGAACCACCATGGAGACGCAGGTTGTATTAATGAAGTACTTTCAAATTTCTTGACTTCCCTGTTAACATGAATCATGGAAATTATGTGACTCACATAAAACAACTACCAGTTATATGAATTACACGTAATTAATTGAAACAAAGATTATTTGAAGACTTTGTAAAAATAACTCCAGTGATAGGGAAAAGGGAGTGGGTTATTGTTAGAGTGGTAACAGGGACAGGATCAGCGCCTAGAGGAAGCAAACAAAAGGGACAAGACTTAAAAGGTCAAAGGAGGAGAGAATGAATGATGTGTGAAAGGAGGTAGGGTCATGTGCAGGAGAGACCAAACAGTGTTTTATCCAAAACTGGCCCAGCTACACCAGAATTACCCCAGAGACCTCTTAAAAGGAAGAGTCCTGGGCCCGTTCTTCCTCTTCTGAATCTGAATAACTAGAGATGGGACCCACGACTACATTTTATGAACACTCAAGATGACTGGAAGTTTGATAACACCTCAAATGAGAGAAACTGAGGTAAGGAGAAGGACTGCCTAGAGAGGGTTTTGAGGAACAGAGTAAGGTTGGGAACAAGCTGGCTACCTATGATAAGTGGCCGGTAGATATACTACATGTGACTACAGGATTCCAGCACAACAGCAGAATCTCCAGGGAGAAACATTAGGTTAGAAATCATGTGCCTGTAAACTCAGATTTTCTAGTTTCATAAAATAGACCATGAAATCAGTTACATTGCCATTTATCATTAGAGACACAAATAATATCACTAATTTTTCTATACCTGTACAAAAAAGACTATTTGGGCATATGTACTCTGTATTGAAAAGGAATCTGATTTTTCTTAAATGCTCAAGACACTTGAGAGTAATGAGCAGTGGCAGCAGCTACCATTCAATGAATGGGCAGGAAAGGTATTTTATATGCATTATAACGTACAAGGTTATATTATAATACAAAAGGTATTTTGTATACACTATCCCTAATTCTCACAACACTACCAAAAAGGGAGCTCCACTAACAAATTAAGATATATGCATTATAACGTACAAGGTTATATTATAATACAAAAGGTATTTGGTATACACTATCCCTAATTCTCACAACACTACCAAAAAGGGAGCTCCACTAACAAATTAAGAATAAAGCCTCAGAAAAAGTAAAGGGAATATACTTAAGAGCTGAAGCTGGAAACTAAATCCAGATCTAGAATACCATGCTGATTCTCATCAGCATACCTAGGATTGCCTGGTCAATCAATTTATTAATAGATCATCATTTATGTAGTGCTTAAGTGCCTACTCTATGCTAGTTACCAAACTAAGCAGGTACTAGTGCAAATAAGAAGATATATTTTTCTGTCCTCTTCAAGTATACTCTGGAAACATCACTTTTTGAGCCAAAATAAAAAAATTTCTGGAGATTAGGGAGCAATGCCCAAGTTCCTTATGCAGAGAAATGGGGAGGCATAGTATTTGATTCCTGGCCAGGTAATCAATGCTCTCTGGCTTCCTGTGGGAGGAAGCTGGCTGCAGTGGGGAAGGGAGCAGTTCAATTATGTAGCATTGACTGTGACAATGCTGGAAAGTCACTTGCATGGCTCTTGCCACAGGCAATCTGTACCATCCCACCAGGCCTGCATAGAAGGCAGGGTGGCCTTACCAGTCGGCAGGTGCCCCTGGAATCCCGCTGCCTGGAGCTGGCACCAGAACGGCGTTCCTCTCCTCAGTCAGTCCCACCCACTGCTCCACAAGCCGGGCTTCCCGCTCCACATCGTCCTCTGTTTTCTCTGCAGAACAAAAGGAGGGGATGAGCATCAACAACAAAGTACGACTTCTAAATTTAAAATAAACAGATTTTTACCCAGTGAAAATCACCCATGAGCAGCTTAAATATCCACTATGTTCCAAAAAATTGAGGCTTCAAAGTTGAAGCATGGGCATCCAGAGGAGCAAGGAGAGGCTACGACACCAGCTTAAGGTACCACAAGACAGAAAGAGTGAAAAGAGCATTGGAACAGCAACTAGAAGACTCAGGTTATGTTACTGGTTCTGTAATTTGGGAAAGTCATTCAACAGATGAGTCTTGGTTCCCTAATCTGTCAAACAGGGACAATACAAGTCATGTCTACCTCACACACTTGTTGAAAGAAAATTAAATGATGGATACAACATTGCTTTATAAAATCGTCCATCATTTTATAGATAAAGGATTAAAAAACACCTGTACCTTACTCTATAAAAGCAACTTTATTTTCCTTCATGCTCATTACTAAAGGGATTTTGATATATCTTGAAATCTGCTCACCCATAATTTTATTCTGGGGCTCTCTGGGTATAAAGTAAGTTTTCATTAGCGGGCTGAGCACATACACAAACCAACACCACACACTGAGCCAAGATGTGTTCCTGAGAGAGAATATTTGCTAACTTCTATATGAAATGGATTAACATTCTGGATGTGTTCTTTGGTGCAGAATCAACCACAATGAGCAGGCCATGAAGTCTGGATGAGAGACTAAGGATTTTAAGAGCAAATTTCTGCTCTGGAATCCAAGCGACTGTTGCCAGCATAAGCAAACTGCACCTTGGAGCAGAGTGGCAGCGAGCACAGTGTCAGAAGCCACCCTGAACTAGCTGAGTGCATGGCTCTGGCCCAACAGTAGCTGGGCACTGACCTACCAAGTGGTGTGGTTTTAGAAGTGACCCTTTGGCTGCTGTAAGTCTTAGGTTCTGGTGCCTGGAATATCTCGTATTGACATGTTGGTATTGATCACATTGGCATTCATCAAAACAAAATTTGAGCTTGACATTTAATGCTAGTTTTATGACATTACTTAGAGTTTTATGAAAACTTAACTTTCAAATTTGGAGCCTTCTTAAACCAACAATGTACGATACGATTCTATAATTATTACAAGTTCAAAAAATTGAGATACTACTGTTCACTAAGAGAAGAAAACAACCTATCCCCATTGTGCGGAAGTGAAAAACCTACTCCCAGGAAAGGACTGAATGTCACATACCTTTTTTATTGCTGACTTTTTTAATCTGTTCATCTAAGTATTCTCGTCGTTTAATGAGTGCATCTGACCACCTCTCTCTTACACAGTTTAAGTCTTCTTCCTGCCATCAGAGAGGGAAAATATTTTCCTGTAGAGTGCACAGACAACTATTTCTTTTTTTAAAAAAAGATGTTTAAATTGATTAGGAAACTTCTCATTAGGAAAGGCCATTGAACACTGCTGTGTTATTAAATATGCAAGAAAGCAAAGAGGCCTCGGGAATAATGCATGCTGATCAAGGATGCCGTTACCCAGAAATCAGAGCCCCTAGATCTCTGAAAGGATAATTATACTTAAAAGCAAGACAAGCTCAAACTATACCAGCTGTCAGATGATTTTTACACTGTGTATGTACATAAGTACGTATGTGTGTATTTAAGACGTAGCTATTCATTGAAGGATTTAGGTTCCAAACAGGACATCATGAACACAGCCCAAACCCTGTAATAGCAAGTGGAATGAAAAATGACAGGCATGTTCATAGTTCATAGTTTAATGGCCTAATAACATGTATTTTCTGAAATGCAAAGAACAGGTCAGCAGAGAACCTTTCTAACTTGCTGCAAAGCTTTTACTTCCAACTACCACGATGAGGTTAAATAAAACTCTCCCATGCAAAAACCCCAACATGCAGTCAGCCATGCTTTAAGAAATCCCAGAAGCAGCCACTGGATTTCACCATGAACAACGTGGCAGGAAGCGCACAAACACCCACAGGACGTTAGTCAATGGCATTGCTGAGATCCACAGGGATACTGACAGTTCCCCTGAAGTTTGTTTTTGTTCACTTGTTTTTTTTAGTAAAATTATGAGTAGGCAAAGAAAATCCATCAATTCTATTCAAACTGTTCTCTGACTTGCCTCATTCTAGTCTAAGCCTTAAGACTTTATAGGAAGAGTAGACACCTGAGGACCTCTGAAGCTTTACCTACAATGTACCCACATTTTATGTGTAGGAAGGCTCTCAGGGAAAATACTCTTTCAAAACTTGTGTGGAGAACCAGTACAAAGACTGGAAACCAAACCCAGAAAACTTCATCTTGGTTTGTTGCTTTGACCATTACAGTATTACCCCACGTTCCATGATATCAGGTCAGTGTTGACTAGACAAAATTTCACAGTTGGACTTACTTTTTTCCCCCTAGATTTTCAACAAGAAAAAGATGAGATTTAAATTCTACAGATTATGGAGAACTAAGCTTGGCCCTCATGAGAGAAGAAAACTGGCTAAGCAAAGTTATGTGCATAAAATGTCTTCAACTTTCCTATCCAGCAAAAGTCTTGTAAAGTAAAATGCCATATTACAACAATACTAGTCTCTTGGATGTAAGAAGCAAAGTGAAGTTTGGCATGGGAAAGACAAGAGTCTGCCTATGGATGGATAAATGCAATTTTTAAGATCACCAATTTTAATAGAATGATAATGGTCTTATTTAGCAAGGCTTTACAAGCTAGTAATTTGAGATGAAATAACAAAAATGCAGTATCTGGTTACAAATTTTGAATCAAGAGGGAAATCTATAGAAATAGTATTGTATCTCTGATTACATATAAAGCAAATCACAAGTGAGAAACTGCACATTCTCGCTCTACGGTCTTCCTTCGTCCTCCCTGGCTTCTGCTTTGCAAATGCTGGCAATTAGCAGCAGCTGTGCCCCATGCCACAGGATTGACAGCGGTAGCAATACCTGATAACTATCCATATCATCACCATCCTCATCATCTCTCTGGTAGGAAAAAAATAAACACAAACGACATGCATTTTGTTTCTCAAACAGCACACAGGGAAAATAATTCTTCAAGCTTAACACACGTTAATTACAATGGACAGCACACACAACATCAGCATAATAAAACATTTAATTGAATTTCTCAAACAGCACACAGGGAAAATAATTCTTCAAGCTCAACACACGTTAATTACAATGGACAGCACACACAACATCAGCATAATAAAACATTTAATTGAATCTCTAAAAGGTTTAATGGATTTAATTCAGTGGTCCATAATTTAAAGATTTTTTTCTTTTTTTTAATGAAGAGAGCAGTCATTTAAAAACAAGACCTCTCTTAGATGGAGATAGGAATCAACATCACTGGGCCAGGCCTTACTCCCTCATTAGGCAAATAGCAGTTGACAAGTATGTATGGGTGGGCTATATGAGATTTGGGATAGGTTTAGGGAAGACAGAACAGCAAAAACTACAGGGGACTTTGAAGCATCTTTCACCCAATCTTGGTTTTAACCATGAGGTAACTGAGGCCCTGAAGGATGAAATGATTTAACCCAAGGATCACACAGACAATGGCAGGTAGGACTAGAAGCCAGGTCTTTAGTCTCCAATTTCAGTGGTCTTTCTCTGCCCCATACCACTTTCACAGATGGAATCATTACAGGGGGAACCCTGGGAACTGAAGGCTACACACCTATATATGTACAAGGTTCTGTACATACACTACGGCAATAAAAGCACAGAGCACTGTTTTGAATAAATGGATCTACCAGTGTCCTCTATTAACCATAACAAACAGCTGAGAAAATCACAACTGTTCCAAAAACAAGGCAACATTTTGTAATAATTACATAAAGTAACAATTGTGGCCAAAAAAAAAATCACTGAAGAGAACAAAAGGGCTTTTGGTTGAAACGATTTTCCTTAGAAACAAGAATCTAGAAACTCTCAATTTAGATTTACTACTAAATCTTTTTTAATCACAGAAATGACGTTAACCTCCTTTTAAGAAAAAGTACTCTAAAAATATAGTTTAAATTATTTTTTATATCTATACTTCAAAATACATTGTTTTTTCTCTTTGTTTTAGTTTGGTAGCCATCTTGTTGGTTATATGACTGACAGTCTGAATGCAAGCCTAATCCTGAAGTAATTTATTTTGAACTAATGCTCCCTATTAAGGTAAAAGAACAAATAACTATAAAAATCATTAATTTTTAGACTGCGTAGGTAGTCTAAAAATTCTATTAACTGAGAACTAGTCTGTGCTTTCATGATGTAAAACCATCACAAAATCAGCACATTCTGTACTGGCTTCAGCTACGGCATCAGAATAATTCTAAAGTGCTACGTCAACAACAAAAACAGTGACTAGACATGACTTTGAGCACGGCAGCAAAGAAAAAAAAAAGCCTTTAAAATATAGTCACAGTTCAAATTTGTATGGCTGGTACCATGCTCCTAAAAAGAGCACACAGCACTGGGAAAAGGCTAATATTTTAAAGCTCACATTTAAAGCACAAATAATTAATCTTTATAACGGTCCTCAAATAGGTCGGTTGATGATCCATATGCTCGGTTTAGGACACACAAACTCAATGTTTTATATAACATCAGAGATTTATGAAGCCACAAAATTTTATGGCAGAAAGGGACCTCAGAGAATTAAGTCTACCTTATAATTTTGGAGAAGGGAAAAAGGGAACTCAAATTTTAAATTACCCAGTTTAAGAACCCAGGTCTCCTGACTCCAAGTCTAGTGCTCTCTCTTTCAACCAAGCCCTGCAGCCACCCCAGGAGCTGACAGCCAAGTGAGGGACTGAACTGGGATGATTTACCTACAATTTCCTGTTCCCCAGGCTGCAAATGCACAAGAAGTTGGGTTGGAGAAGCCTCCCAAAACAGAGTGGATCCTGTCCTTGCATCTTTTTTCGTATTTTGAATTAAGGATGGACAGACTTTGAGAGCTGCAGGGAATTTTGGCCTTGAAGAGGGAAAATGTCTGACAGAGGTGTGCCTTCCTTAAAGCCCAATAGTCTGTGCACTGATTTTTAGCTTTCAGAATGATCTTTGCCTGAATGCCATGAAGACAAAAGGACACTGAGACAGAAGATGAATCATTCTCACGATTGGGTGGGCTCATGCCCAGATCCCACAGAGAAATAGGGGAGAAATGTCCCCCTGTCATGATATGGAGAGTGTTCCCTATAACACGGCAGTGAGGGAGGCAAAATTTAATGGTCTGATGCTCCCCAGTCCCTCTTATCTGGTAGTAAACTGGGCACTCAGTGAAGCACATGCATTCCTTTAGGCTACTGGGTGACAAGTTCCTCATTTTAGAGTTTATTCTTATAGAGTACTGGAGAGTTCTGGCTGGTAATACAAAGTTCAATTCTTACAGGTTTTCACCTTTTTATTTTTTATTTTATTTTTTATTATTTATTTATTTTGTCTTTTTTTCCGTGTCCGGCAACAGATCGCAACCCTCAGTGTTGCCCCCGTACCGGATTTTTTTATTATTTATTTATTTTGTCTTTTTTTCCGTGTCCGGCAACAGATCGCAACCCTCAGTGTTGCCCCCGTACAGGACCAGGGACCGGCAACGGGATTGCAACCCTCGGTGTTGCTCCCGCGCCTCGCTCTGCCAGCGAGGGGGAACCGGTCTGTATGTGGGATCCGAACCCTCGGGCGGGAGCGCCGCCACGCTTCCCAAGCGGCACACTTATCCAGTGCGCCACCGGGCCGGCCCCACCTTTTTATTTTTTAAATGAGAACGTAAGATTTAGGAAATGGAGATTTAATGGACAAAAAATGATCATGAGGATAGCTTTTCATTACTTTTTATTTTTTAAATGAGAATGTAAGATTTAGGAAATGGAGATTTAATGGACAAAAAATGATCATGAGGATAGCTTTTCATTAAAAAAAAAAGTAGTAAAGCTTTCAAAGAACTGTTTAATTATGACAGTGCATGGTGGTAAGTTTATAATATTAATAAAAGTGGACACGTCAGAGAGCAATGCCAAATATCCAACATATTTTGGGCCAGACATAAAGAAAAACCTGTCTAAAGTAAATGAGTACTATAGCATTAATGTGTGTGTGTGTTTATAAATAAATTAATCAACACTAAGCAAACATAGTATTTTAAATCTAGAAAAAAGGCAATGGATGGAAAAGTGCATTGGGGGAATATATACAGTTAAGGCAAGGAGTCTCATATTCCCAAATAGGTCCCCATCATAGATCATTAACTGCCTCGTTTCTACATTAACCATCCTTTGTTAAACACTATTTAAAATCTGTTTGTCTTACCTGGTAACTGTCCAGCCCTCTTTGGAGTTTGGTGGACCTGGCAGTTACACAGCCAATGGACACTGACAAGATAGCTTCGACCATAAGTGGCAGTGTCCCTGAATGCTGGACAGGCTTTACTGTGACTTGCACTCTACGGGAATGACCCTGCAGAGGTGGAGGTAGGGGTGGGAGCATGACACCAAGAATAAGAATGGGAAGGGATGGGAGATGAAGATAAAGATAAAAGCATTAGGGAACAAAGATACAAATAATTAGAAAATTCCCAGAAATTGTAAGAGTGGGACAGAAAGTAAACATGAAAAAGCAAACTCAGTACCTGTCTGAGTTGAAAGATGCCTCCTGTGTTGACATCTTTTGCCTGATGAAGTTCGACTGCAGCATATTCCCCTAGCTCATTCAATTCTAATATGGAGATCCACATTTCTATTCTTCGAGTTACTTCATTCCACCTGCAAAAACACATTCCAACAAGCAACAATGTCATTGTCCAAGGATGCTATTAGTAATGAGTAATAAGTTACCATTCACCAAGCACTTACTATGTGCTAGGCCCTGTATCATGTTTGTTACACACATTATTTCCTTATTAAAATCTCAAAACAACCCTGTGGCATAGGTTCTTTTTCTTTATGTCATTGAGGTATAACTTGCATTCAGTTAAATGCCCAGATTGCAAGGATAGAGTCAGACAAGTTTTGACAAATGCATATACCTGGGTAACCCACCTCATCACCACCTCAGAAAGTTTGCTCATGCCCTTTCTCAATCCCCATACTCCCATAGCAGCTGTGTAGCCTCATAGATTAGTTTTGCCCATTCTAGAACTTCATCTAAATGGAATCATGCAGTATGTACTGTTTTGTGTCTGGCTTCTTTCATTCAGCATAATGTTTCTGAGGTTCATCCAAATGTATATCAACAGTCCCTTTTTAATGCTGAGTAATATTCTATTGTATGAATAATACCACAGTTTGTTTATACATTCACCCACTGAAGTGCATCTGGGCTGTTTGCCATTTTGGGATACTGAAAATAAAGCTGCCATGAACATTTGTATACAACTCTGTATGTGGATTTATGTTTTCATTTCTTTTGAGTAAATACCTAGAAATGGGATTGTTGGGTCTCAAAAGAGGTAAATGATCAACTTTACAAGAAACTGCCAGTTCCCCCCATATTGTGGCTTGCCTATTCATTTTCATAATGATATTTTTTGATGAGCACAAGCTTTTAATTTTGATTAAGTCCAACTTAATTTTTTTCTTCTGCGGTTAGTGCTTTTTGTGGCCTTTCTAAGAATGTGTGTTTTCTTCTATAAGAATCTTGTTTTCTTCTATAAGCTTTACAGTTTTAGTTTTTGCATTTAAGGTTATAATCCTTTTGCAATTTAATTTTTTCAAATGGTGTGAATCAAGGTTGCTTTTTCTTCCATACAGATATGCAGTTGTTTTGGTCTCATTTGTTGAAATGACTTTTCTCTCCCCATTAAATTTCTTTGGTGTCTGGCAGTTCTTTTTATCATTCTCATTTTACAATGGAGTATGGTGTGAATCAAGGTTGCTTTTTCTTCCATACAGATATGCAGTTGTTTTGGTCTCATTTGTTGAAATGACTTTTTTCTCCCCATTAAATTTCTTTGGTGTCTGGCAGTTCTTTTTATCATTCTCATTTTACAATGGAGGAAACAGTTTCAGAGAGGTTAAGTCACTTGTCCAAAGTAACATTAGCAGTCTCTGGGTTCAAAGCCTGTAGTCTTCATCACTGTCCAAGTGCTAGTCTTGACCCTATGTCTAAAGCTCATAGCCAAGTACAAACCTGTCATGCAGTGTTCTTGTCTTAGCATGAAGAGAATCGACCTCCCAAATGGAGCTCCCATTTCCAGCACACCGGTGGCCCCATACTTCAATTGCCAGTGCTCCATCTGAAATGAACTCCAGGAATTCTTCTGTTACATTCACCACATAGTCCTGGGAGGAAGGAGTGCACAATAAGAATTTAAAGGAGTCTGTGAAATTTCCTTTTTATCTTTCAACTGTATATACATTTACTTTGGAGTATATTAGCCAGATCTTGACCTATCTCTTCTATTTTATAACCATAAAGAACCACAGAATATTAGATCTGGAAGGGGATTAGTGAGATAATTTAATTTAATCACTTTCTTTTATAAATGAGGAAACTACAGAAAGCAACTTGTCCAAAGTCTTCCTGCTTGTTAGTTGCAGAGCTGAATCTACATTCTCTTGCTCCTGACTCATTCTTAGGTCTACAGGACCACTCTTTCAGCTGGCACACAGACTAATTCAATGGATCATTCCTTGCCATGGCTTAGGAGACTAATAACCGAGTTAAATTTGTTAACTTCATGATTCTATGCTCTTGCTCCTAAGCTCTCATCCTAAAACAGAAACAGATGATTGTGAGGAAATGAATAATGAACTGGCCGAGAAGAGTGGGAAATCACCCAGAAAATGCACTAGGCAAGAAACCAAGCCGATTTCCTTTCCATTAGCCTCTCAGTGGAATCTCAGGTGGAGACATCTCTGTGACTATAATTTCTCAAAACAGCTGTGCTATATAATTAACTTCACACTATCTACTTTCTTATTGATTTTTTTTGGAGACAGACCCAGAATTTTAGAAGGAAAAGAAACTTCATGGTTAATTAGTACAATCTACACATTATACAGAGGAAAAAACTCCAAGGTCATACAGTAAACCCAGGGGTGATCTGGGAAACAGCTGTTAACCAGGATGCGCTTAAAAGTCAGATTCTGTCCTTCTAAATATGCAGCTTTGTGGCAAAGGAAGACGGAGAATATTTAAAAGAATACTTAGAGAACAACAACAACAGGGCTGGCCCCGTGGCTCACTTGGGAGAGTGCGGCGCTGGTAGTGCCAAGGCCACGGGTTCAGATCCTATATGGGGATGGCCGATGCGCTCATTGGCTGAGCGTGGTGCGGACGACACCGTGCTGAGTGTTAGGGTTAGCGATCCCCTTACTGGTCAAAAAAAAAAAAAAGAAAGAAAGAAAACAGCAACAACAAAAGACTAATAAAGATTTCGAGAAACTAACTTGGTGAATATAGGTAAAGAAATGTAGGCTGTTTTCAGGGGAAAAAAAGACTTGACAGTATTTACATACGTGAAATGCTATAGGTGATAGTATGGATTTGTTTTCTAAGTGTAGAGCCAGAAAGAATAGACACAGTTTGCAAAAGAAAGGGTCGTGAGTATCTATTAGGGATTGTCTCAGGAAAAACAAAATTACAGAGAGGACAGAGGTGGTCTTTCAGAAATGACTTGTTGGCAGTCCCATGTAAAAGCCAGGAAGGGTAGGTGATATCTCAAGGTAGGTCCAATCCAATTCACCACAAACTCACTTTTCCCATTTTATATTTTCTTTAAAAACTCCTTTGGTATATTGGAACATTAAGCTTAGAATGCTATGCTGTAGTCGAAAGAATGAGAAATATCTATAGCAACTTATATGTTAAGATGCCCACAATTCTGCAATATGTAATCCTGTTTTTATAAACCAATTTTTGCCCAAATTTATTTTTATTTTGCATACACAGGTTTTTTTGTTTATGTGTAAAATAATTTTTTAAGAAGTTATGTGAGCATGATGTACAACTGTATGTCTATGCCCATTCATGTGTATGTACATATGTTTATCACACACATACAAATGTCACAGAGCATAGAAAATAGCTTATTAAAAGGTGTAGTGAACTGTCATTGGCAGTTACACCTCTGGGGAACAAAATTGCTGGTTAAGATCTTTCAGATTTTGTTTTAAATATTTCTAAATTATTTGAATTTGCAATAAAGTACGTTTTGAAGTTAAAAAAACCAATAAACTATTACACTTAAAAAAAATTCTCATGGGAAAAACTCAGTTACAAGTAGATATTTGAACTGTTCCTAATTCCACTGCCTCTCACGTAGGTCACTTTGTAACGGCATCTGTACCTTACAGTGAGAGAAGGTCACTGTATACTGAGTATCCTTGGACTGTGGTGAGGGCACCTCGGGGTCCACCACTGGGGCAGCCACTGTAGACTCACACTGGTCCCAGAATGTGTACTGACAGAAGACGAAATTCGAAAGGCTTAAGGGCAGTCCAGTTGCCTCTTTAATTTTTACCTGAAAAGATTTTTAAAAACACAAATAAAACTCCCATAAATAAAACATCAAGGGCTGGCTGGTTAGCTCAGTTGGTTAGAGCTTGGTATTATAACACCAAGGTCAAGGGTTCGGATCCATGTACTGGCCAGGCTGAAACTTCATGGTTAATTAGTACAATCTACACATTATACAGAGGAAAAAACTCCAAGGTCATACAGTAAACCCAGGGGTGATCTGGGAAACAGCTGTTAACCAGGATGCGCTTAAAAGTCAGATTCTGTCCTTCTAAATATGCAGCTTTGTGGCAAAGGAAGACGGAGAATATTTAAAAGAATACTTAGAGAACAACAACAACAGGGCTGGCCCCGTGGCTCACTTGGGAGAGTGCGGCGCTGGTAGTGCCAAGGCCACGGGTTCAGATCCTATATGGGGATGGCCGATGCGCTCATTGGCTGAGCGTGGTGCGGACGACACCGTGCTGAGTGTTAGGGTTAGCGA